TCCCCTCCCCCTCCTCCGTAGATCCGCCTGTGCAACCTTTGAAGGGTCCTGATTCAGTACTTTGTGAGGAAGTAATGTATCTTGGTCAACGGAGGTGATTTGACCGAGATCACGCCAAATTATCCTCCGTAATTAATTATTTAATTTAGCGCACACTTCCTTGGTCTTGTGCAATAGTTTCGCAACTTTCTTGCAGTTACCTATTAGCTTATTACTATAGAGATATTATTGTTGTTTCTTAGATAAGAAAAACTAAACTAAGCCGGACTGAAAAATCAGTTAAATGCAAAAATATGTTGGTTATACCAATTCTTTTCATATAGTAACTAAAATTGTCAAGTATTAGTATAACTTCATATATCAGTTTTGGTCTTGCAACAAGTTGGCGGTCTAGGTCTTGGTCTTGTAAAGTGCAAGACTAAGACCGATTTTGGGCAACACTACTTTACAAAGGTTGGGTCTTCCGATAGGGTCGATATACGGCCGAAAAAGAATAAATAATTTATCAACTTTCAGCCTGGCTCGACCGTGGGAACTTGAGCATTGGAAGTCAGCAACTATTATCACATAAAATTACAAATTTAAAATATTTAATACAGGGAAATTTACATTGAAATGAATGATCGTTGGGTTTTTAATTTAGCATTTAAGATAGTTAAGGAAGTACTTAACACTTGGCAACGTTTTTTTTAGGTCTAGGTTCAAAAATATCGGTACTTTCTACATCTACCCTACTCGTATATCTTATCTAATATTCGCCAAGTTCTGTATTTACCGAGAATATATATATTGAAGATATATAAATACATGGAGGAAAACAATGGATCCGCAGTAAACCGGTAAGGTTTCGCAAACAGACAACTCAATTAATGAGGGCGGCATTGATGCGCGCGTGGGAACGCTATGCAAATGCTGAGGGGGAGGAAGTGGCCGCCCTCTTCCCTCCCTTCCCTCCTCTCCTCCCCGTCCCACCCCTTTCCCTCCTCCACCTCCTCCTCCTCCTCCATCTTCCTCTCTACCGTACTCAGCTCCACCGCCGCTTTGGACCATTCCCAATATTATTAATATTAATTTTAAGTATAATGGGTTATATAAGAAAAATACTGAATACAGCTGAAAAATATATGTAAAATCGATGGCATAAAGTGGAACTTCCGGTTAGCCAATTTTAAGGAAAAAGTTTCCGTAACATTGGGATGTTACCGGAAGAGTCTGGGGACTTATACCTTTCTTAAATATGTAATTTCAGATTCGTACGACTTTTCATTTTTATGTAAATTTATTTATTTTTATAATTGGTTAACTTGAGAAGACGAAATAAGATTTGAAATCGATTGAACTGCTAAGATTTTTTCTGATGTTTTGTTTTTGTTCGTTTTTTGGTTTTTTTTTCATAGCTGTTTCCGATCTTTGTCTTTAATATCTTCCGTTAAATTTCATTTTACTGTATTTTTGCATAAATTTTAAGTTCTTTCAAATTGATTCTCTATTCCATAGGCATTCTAGTTGTGGGGAGAGATCGACGGACCCCCAAAACAATGGAGTTTATATTATTTATAAAAATTTGAATAATAATTAACATAATCAACATAATTATTGTAAAACTAACAATATGATACTAATTATAAACATAAATTTCAATAAATGTTTATGTATTATCGCCTCCACCCGAATTATACACCGGGACTCTATTGTAAATTTCAGATACCGGGCAAGTTTAATTCCTAGTTAGATCAAATCGTATATTCGGAGCTATCTACGATCTGCGTACAAATGTCAATGAGAGTTACTTACAGAAATTGGTTCATCAACATGTCATGAAAGCGGGAAGATTAAAATGGGCGCAATTTACAATTCGAAGCAATCAATTAGGAAGCCTCTACCCGATAATAGTAGTCCGTGGTACAGACCTCTTTTTATCAAATCATTAAAATCCGTCTAAAACTTTGTGAATGGCTACATTTTATCGTAACTTAAACATTTTTATCTTGAAATATTCTCAAAAAAAGAAGCGTTTTCTCATAAATTAATTTAGTAAGGCAATAAAACACATGGATATCCATTTACATTCCACTTGAATCGTAAGATGATTTGATTACAGAATATAGAAAAGAGGTGGTCTACCACAATATTAGGCCGCTTGTCCTATATAACCTCGATATATAGGTGGAGGTCATGCCAGACCCAATATTTTTGTAGGCTACCTCTTTATCTCGATTTCCTGATCAAATTATTTTGCGATTCAAGTGGAATGCAAATTAGTCCGTGGTACAGACTTCTTTTCATCAAATTATTAACATACGCCTAAAACTTCATTTCATCGTAATCTATAAATATTCTCACAATTGGTTTTTTTTCTTAATCTATAGATCGGCAAACTTTAACTTTTTAATTAGGTACTAAAAACTCATAAATACCCATTTGCTTTCCAACTTGAATCGTAAGATAATATGATCTCAGTTCACAAATATGGGTGAGGCGTCCACCCCCAACATGTCAAAATAATAAGGTTATATACGCCAAAAGGTCCAATACTTTTTTTTTTCTCTTTTGTGATCATATTTTCTTGCTGTTGAAGTGGAAAGCAAATAGGAGTATTTATGAGTTTTTTAGTACCTGATTAACTAGACAAAGTATAACGATCTACAGATTGAAAAAAAAATATCCCAATTCTGAGAATATTTGTAGATTGCGATGAAGCGAAGTTATTTATGAACTTTTAGGCAGATGTTAATAATTTTATAAAAAAAGGGGGTCTGTAACGCGGACTAAATGGGTGGTCTCGAGCTTTTGGTGCCTCAATAAATATATTACGTTTACCAATCTCTCGATTGAAATAGCCCCATTTCTGATAATTTCCGCAAATAAAAAAGCTATAGGTTTCTCATTTAATGAGGAAGTATCTTTTGTTATCGTTTTGTCCGGATCGGGAAACGGGTGACCCAAGCCTCGCCCTAGAACTAAATCGCCCCCTCGGAACTATTCGCTAGTTGACCGGAGCTATAAAATGATGTAGGCGAAGGAAGGGAAGGGTAAAGGACAAGGAAGTGGGTGCTGGGGACACACATAATGGAGCGAGGGGGTGTTGAAAGGGCCCAGTAACGTACCCACTGTGGGAACTGTAACCTGCTTCCTCTACCTCCAACCGCCGCCCTTCCATAAATCACCCGCCCTCGATGTCTGCTCCTGTTCTACGGTTAACGGGGGAGGGCTTCCACCTTCTTCCTCCTTCCTCGATGTCTGTCCAGGCTACGGTTAACGGGGGAGTATTTTCACCTTCTTCCTTCTTCCTCGATGTCTATCCAGGCTACGGTTAACGGGGGAGTATTTTCACCTTCTTCCTTCTTCCTCCATGTCTGTCCAGGCCACAGACGGATCTGCGAGGAGGGCTTTCGGCTGAAGTACTCCTCCCCCCCTCCCACAATGGAAAATATAACCATAGCAATATTAGAAAAAAAATTAAAAACTATCTCTTAAACTATTAATGTTCGTGTAATTACATTTAATAAGACTTCAAGAATCACTATGACTCCATGTCATATATATGAAAAAAAAAAACCTTCGGGCTGAAGCCTCCCCCCCCAAAATCAAATCCTGGATCTGCTATTGTCCAGGCTATGGTTAACGAGAGAGTATTTCCACCTTCTTCCTCGATGTCTGTCCAGGCTACGGTTAACGGGGGAATATTTTCACCTTCTTCCTTCTTCCTCCATGTCTGTCCAGGCCACAGACGGATCTACGAGGAGGGCTTTCGGGCTGAAGTACTCCCCCCCCCCCCACCTCCCACAATGGAAAATATAACCATAGCAATATTAGAAAAAAAATTAAAAACTATCTCTTAAACTATTAATGTTCGTGTAATTACATTTAATAAGACTTCAAGAATCACTAAGACACCATGTCATATATATGAAAAAAAAAAAACCTTCGGGCTGAAGCCTCCCCCCCCCAAAAATCAAATCCTGGATCTGCTATTGTCCAGGCTATGGTTAACGAGGGAGTATTTCTACCTTCTTCCTCGATTTCTGTCCAGGTTACGGTTAACGAGGGAGTATTTCTACCTTGTTCCTCGATTTCTGTCCTGGTTACGCTTAACAAGGGAGTATTTCCACCTTCTTCCTCGATGTCTGTTCAGGCTACGGTTAACGAGGGAGTTTTTCCACCTTCTTCCTCGATGTCTTTCCAGGTTACGGTTAACGGGGGAGTATTTCAACCTTCTTCCTCGATGTCTGTTCAGGCTACGATTAACGGGGTAGTATTTCCACCTTCTTCTTCGATGTCTGTTCAGGCTACGATTAATGAGTGAGTATTTCCACCTTCTTCCTCGATGTCTGTCCAGGTTATGGTTAACAGGGGAATACCACCACCTTCTTTCTTCTTCCTCGATTATAGTGTCTTCGGAGGATCCAGAGTAATAAGGCAGGTTCACGTGGAATAGACCTTATAAAGAAGATGAAATGCTGAACAATTCCCTCGCTTACAGTATGCAGCCCCGATTTTAAGTATCTGAGATATTTTAATCCGTACGAAAAAATACTTTAATTAGTTGACTCAAGCCGATTTTACCCGAGCGTTAATACCGAACGAAATCTGACGGATCAATCTAATTCGCTCTCCACAAAAAAGTGCAAAACCCCCAAGAAGAAGTTGTCACTTCAAAAAAATGAAATATGAATAAAAAGAGATATCATTGTGCATACCATGTAAGAGTATTGTTTACATGGAAATAATAGGTTTTAATATCAGACCTAAAACTTTATAATTAAGAAGTAGATTATATATTCGTTTAAAAATATACGGTACTGCACAGTTTACGATGACTCATGTTTTGTTTACGGTAGTCATAAAAACTACATCAAACTTCAACAACCGTTTGAAGGATCAAGTGGTTTAAGGTGATAAGGAGATCCGTGACATTGCGTATTTTTATCAGCTACTGACTGTATTTTTATCAGGAACTGATCAAATTTAGTCACTGATCTAAACCACGTATAGAAAACATGAAAACTGAGACTATAGTCACCAAAGCATTCTGGCAATGTTCAGAATTTAGTCGCATTAATCAGGTACGTTAACAACCCAACGGCTCTTGTTAATTAACTGTTAGAAGTAATTGCAATTATAAAATAAATAATGCTTACATAGTTGCGAAAGTTTAAATATGAAGTGGGAGGCGGAATAAGAATTGTTAAAAAGAAATTGTGAACGAAGATTGACGGATGTTGCTAGAGTTCCAAAAGGAGACAGAACGAATGACGAAATACTTGCCATAGGAAGTATTGGGTTGGCAAATAAGCCCTTTCGGTTTTTCAGGGTGAAATAAAACAATATATTATAGACGTAAAATTTATTTTAATCAATAATATATTGACCATTATTTAATGTGACTTTCTCCCATGTTTTCACTACATAATGCCATGTTCATAGAATGCCTGGAGTTAATTTTTAATACACTGTTCCAAGTGGCTTGATGTCCTCTTCCTTTTGGAATTTCTTTCCATTCATGGAGTTCTGCAGAGACCAGAATAATTGTAGTCCCTTAGAGCTAGGTATGGTGAATAGGAAGGGTTGGGCAAAAGGTCTCATCCAAGGCTCAATAATTTATTGCGAGTGACCAATGAGGTGTGGGGCCTAGCATAGTCTTAGTGGACCACAATACCCTTTCGATCATTCATAACTCTTCAGTATGTTCTTCAAATTCGATGTTACCATATCCGTTGGGAAGCTGAATTATTGCTCTTCAATACCGTATCGATGTTTTTTTTTTTTTGTTTTTTTTATGCTTACATAAGGAATAAATAAACAAAAACTCCTTATAGGTTTTTATTTTTTATCTCCATTTGTAGTTTGTTTACGAAGGTCCTGTTGATGTAATTTTGTGTAGTTTATGTGGTCCTAAATTCCTGCTAAATTTCTTGTAGATAGCTAAAGTCGTATTGAAGTTATAACATTTTTTGTGATTTTCGAAAAAAAAATCATGTGAGGGACCCAAACATTAAGCCTGGAAACATAGCCGAGCTTGTGCAAATGGTTTTCTACGCTTGTGTGCGACACATTTAGGGCCATAGCAATCTCTCGCACTGATTGGGTGGGATTTTAATCAACAATGGCCTTAACATTGCTCGTTTCAATTTCATGTGGGCTACCAGACCGTTGAGCATCATTGATGTCAACATTTCCTGAATGAAATTTTGCAAACCTATTTTGACAGGTATGTTCGGCTAAGACATAATCCCCATAAATACTGCAAATTTTTCTATGAGCTTCTGCAGCACGCTCACCTTTTTTAAAAAAAATACAACTAAATATGCCGATAATGAATGATATTTTATTCCATATTCCCAGTACAATAGCAAACATAATACTAAGCTAGTTTCAACAAGAGTTAACAGATATAATTGTTGTACAGGATTGTTACAAATTTTTATTGTTACAAACAGGATAAACAATAATAATAACCAACACATAAACAGGCAAACCATAGTTTCACTACCGATTCCTTTGAGGTCAATTTAGGAAGGACTTCAAGGACAGTGAAAAATCGGTTTAGATCCAGGGATAATGGCTGCTCAGAATCCAATATCGAGCAAGAATATTAATATTTTTTCACTGAATCATACGGTTACTTGTCAGGAAAATCATATCGTGATTCCCGATTAAAGTAAATGGTGTAATGTTAACCCCTATGCCCAATCTGAGTGGTATGCCTTCAGGTGGATGAATGGGCTCTCATACAAGGGTTAAAAGAGATAGTATATTTATTTAAATATCGACATTTTTAATTAAATATATATTTATACTTGTAGGTTAGGACTTCACTTTATTAAACTAATAAAAGCACACAATTTTATCATAACAGTCCTACTTTATTTCTCCTTTATAGAATATATCTTATTATATCTCCTTTATACAATTTAAATTGTTAAAAATGATGGTTTGAAGTGTGAACGAGTTTAAAATAAATATAACCTTATTGAGGGAGGTTTCAGTATTTGACTAACTGAGTTATGTTGACAAGGGCAATTTAGTCCATGTGTTTTAATTTTATGTAGTTATAAAGTATGAAATGAAATTAATTAAAGGAAAAGTATAATTTTGTTGTGATGATTGTTTTTATTTGTTAAAGGTTTCTTTTTCCTGTGAAAATGGCCCAAGGGCTGAAACGTTGTTATAGAAAAAGAAATAAAAGTAGAAGTTATGATCAAATTGTGTGTTTTTATTATTGATATTTTTATTTATTTACTTTTTAAATTATTTATTTATTGACTTTGGAATCAGGATTCGAACACACACAACGTTTGAGTATGTAGGCTTTATGATTTTATATCCATAATAAATAATGTATAGGTCATTGTAGAAAATGATTGAGTAAAGTGACCAGTGCATGAATTTAGCTCATTATTTATTTATTTATTACTTTTATTGTTCATTCACACATGTCAATCCATATTACTTATTGGCCAGCAATCTATTTTTTTTTTAAATCAAATTAACAAAGTTCTGATATGCGTTTTATTTCTTATCAAGAATCTTAACATCAGAGGTTCACAAAGAATCAAAATTAATCTCAAATATGCTATACAGAAATGACAGAATTGTAATAAAACTCTAGAGTATTATAGAAATAATATCAACAATATAATAGAGCGAACCATTAGTTCTAGGCGTTCTTTATATATAAATATTTTATGAGAAGGAATTAGTCGAGGGTGCGGTCAAAAAAAAAATAAAAAAAAAATTAAAATACATAAATAATTTTAATTTTTGCCGACGTTTCGACCCACTTTGCAGGTCGTCTTCAGGGCGTTGGATGTGGCACTGCGGGAGGCAGTTGAAACACTGCACTGCCAGTGTTTCAACCGCCTCCCGCAGTGCCACATCCAACGCCCTGAAGACGACCTGCAAAGTGGGTCGAAACGTCGGCAAAAATTAAAATTATTTATATATTTTAATTTTTTTAATTTTTTTTTAACCGCACCCTCGACTAATTCCTTCTCATATCATATCAACGGTCAACCATCTCTACATCATTATAAATATTTTATATTTTCCTTCTATAAACTTTCATAAATCCCACTTAAACTATTACATCTGTAAGAAAATTTATCTTCTTTTATATTTTGATTTAAATTTTTTTTCCAAGAGCAGGTAGTGAGCTCGGATGTTGCATGTTTTATTTTATTTTAACCTCTACTTTAATGTTTCAGAACGGATCTTCTGATACTGTAAACTGGATTTCAGAGCTATACAGTATTCATATTAAAGGATTGTAGCATCGTCGTTAACAGTTGATAGAGTGATAATTCCTTTAATACGATGAAGTTATTATAAATAAATTAAAAAAAGGTAAAAGTAATTCGATGGTTAGTGGAATAAGTTTCATGATTGTTCAAAATATTTGTGTACTGTTCAAATTTATACATTTTACACCGGAAGATAAATCTGAAAATATTGAAATAGTAATTTATTAAAAAATTTCATCATGTGTTTCAAGACATCTAAGAACTTATATTTTATATATTAACATAGGTATAATATGTTATATATTATAATATTATACTTGTAATGAAATTTATATGAGGCCATCCAGACACTAACGCGCACAATCTCAGACAATTTCATGAAAAAGGAACAAACGGTAGATTTCCCCCCCCCCAAGATCCCCATTCAATTGAATTTTTAAATTAATGGCTGTAATGTAAACAATGAGATGTTTACTAATTACTTATCACAATATATGTATATATATATTTTTATTATAGCTTTAAAGAATGAAAAACATCGATGTTTATCATCGCCCATTTTCTTAAACTTTCTGTGATTCAGATTAATATTAATTCATTACATTAAAAATAAATAAATAAATAAAAAATCGAATTATTAGGAGCTCCAAAAGTAATACCATTAATTTGGTATTATAAAAACACTATACAAAAATACAACAAATAATAAAATTTCTGAATATAAATTTAGAAAATCAAAGAAAATGGAATTAATAATGACTAAAACCTATAAAAGAATTTACATTAAAAACATCATATTAAAAACCGATATTTCTCTGGTATTGTGCTATATTTTTTACTGGTTTCAGATTTTTTTATTTGTTAATTACATTTTCAATTGAGAAAATAAAGATTTAGGTTAGCAACATTTTATCTGTCAAATACATCTAATTTCATCTAATTTGATTTAATTCAAATTTACTGTATGATAAATTTAAATTTATACATATTATCTTGAGGTCTGTTAGTATTTTTAAATTAATTTATATTTTACTAATAATATGTTAATGAATTAAAAAGGACTCGCGAAGCGGATCCTATATTTATTCCCAAAATACTACTTTTAGAACATCTTATCGTTATCTGACCGTTATAAATATATCTCTTCGATATTGAGCAAAAACTGCATAGAAAGGTTAGCTAGTTGTTTCAGAGCTCTTTAAGCTTTCGAGATAAACTGCAATGAAATCAGTATTTTTATTTTTCCTCAACTTTAGTTCAAAAGAATCTTATGCAGGAGTTCCTGAGAATTTGATCATCCAGAACGATAACAACAAGTAAACGGTAAAGAATGTTATTTATTTTTTAAAAAATTAAATTATAATTTGCGAAAATATTTAAATCAAATATATTCAATTTCTCTCGAAAAACAAATCAAGTTCATTTTCAATTTTTTTTTTACTTTGAAACAAGTATCTCGTAAACAAAAACATGCTATTAAATTAAATATTACTTTCTGAAAAAGATATTTTAAAAATGATGATATTATCCCTTATTAAAAAATGATAATAAAAGGTAAATTTTTAATAAACAGACATTTTATTTAGTCAAACTCCTAAATAATGTAGATATAAATGTGAAAAGGACATTTTCAACAAAAACGTGAATGAATATTATGATTTGAATTATGTATAGTAAAAATATAAATACAATCAATATTATGCAGAATTTATTTCTAAGGATTTTTTGTGGTTTTAACATTTATTTGAAGCTGTCAACTTCAGAGGAAAACTGAAATCCGAAAACGTTACGAAGAAATAGGATTTGCAAGAATATTTGCTTAATTTGGACACATACAGGTAAGTAAAATGATTATATGAGGTAGTCTTAGTTCATGTTATCGTTGAACTAAAGAAAGGTCTCTTTTTAGAAAAGCTTGAAGATCTAGGCTTTAAACTTTTTAGGGGAGGGCTTTGCTTGATTTTAATACTCTAAAAAAAAGAAAGAAACTTTATAAAAATTTATATTTTTTTTCTTGTCATTCATTACATTTAGCTCACTAAGATCACTCAGGAATTTAAATATGAACCAAAAAAAAATTATTTTTTTTAATTTTAGGGGGAGGGGGAGGAGATGAACTTCAGTCCAAAAGCCTCCTCCGTGGATTCGACAGTGAATAAACTAATAACATTGACAACAATTTTCATCTGGAAGCAACAATTTTTTGTTCCATACACTACAGGGAGTGTGGTGTATCGAAAGATACTGTTAGTTGCCATCTACGTTTCATGGGGAAGGTGAAAAAGAGCACTAGACCGGTCCCTCGGTCCACTTACTAAAAAAAAAATGTATTTATCTAGATTTTCTTTTTTTTTATATTTAGAAATTCGTGAAAAGTTATTGAAAACCGCTTCTGATGTGAGCTTTTACCGGAATATTGTCACCTGTGATCAAAAATGGGTTCAAATCAAAACAGAACAACCGTGAGCAATGACTAGATCACGGTCAAACTGCTTTTCCGGTTGCTATAAGGGAGCAATTAAAAAAAAAAAATGCAGGCTTTGCATTTTTAGAAATATTGAAGATGTAATTCATCACGACTTTGTTCTATGAATTCTGAACTCTACTGCAAACAACTGGAAAGATTGTATGCTAAGTTGTCAGTGCGTGATCCAGCTTTGATTAACCGAAAAAGAATTTTATTCCGACAAGATAACGCTCGTCCTCACGATTCTCGTCGAACCAAAGAAAAGTTAAAAGAACTTCATGAGCTCGAACTCCTGCCTCATCCACCATATAGTCCAGACCTCGCACCACCGGATTACTACTTATCTAGATCCATGGCCCATTTTCTTCAAGGGAAAAATTTGGTAATTTTGTGGAAGTTGAAATGCGGTCCAAGAGTTCTTTGACAGCCACCTTAAGGAACGGTATCAGCATGGGATCGAGCAATTGGCTAGCAGATGGCTAATGGCAGTAGATAACAATGGACTGTACATTGAGTATTAATTGTATTTTATATCAAAGAATAATAATACAAATATCTGGTTGAAAAGCGGTCATTTTTTTATACACCCTATTATTAAATTAATTAAATATTTCATTAAAACTGAAGAGCCAAAGAAATTATATTTGGATGATAAAGGTAATTGAGGAAGTGTTCTTTTTTATAAATATGATATGAGCGGGTGTTAAGAAGTCATTAAGCAAATGATAAATATAAATCGCTAAGTACTTTGATTAATTATCTGTCTGTGAAATGAAAAAAAATTGCACTTGTGAGTATTTTGGGTATGTAAAGAGATTTGTATCATTTTGATGCACTTAATGTATTTTTTCATCCATAAATAAGGCCAAAATTAACAAAAACTTACTTAAAAAATTAGCTCCAAGAAATATGTACTTAGTGATTTTTTTGCATTGTATTGATATTGATCTATACAAAGCGAATAATAAAATTGTTCAAAAGTAAATCACTGTTTAACATATTACAATTGCAATTTTTGAATCCACTTTAATTTATTAAATACAATTATTTCTGACCATAATCCGATATCTGCGTACAACCTGATGATATAGATGAAAATAATAATTAAATATTAATCACATCTAATTCAGTTCAGACCCCTTTTTATCGAATTATTAACATTCGGCTGAAACTTCATAAATAGCTTCTTCTTATCGTAACCTACAACTATTTTATTTACGAAAACTCTTGGAATTGGGACGATTTCTATTTAGTTATATACTAAAAACTCGTAAATACCCATTTGCTTTCTACTTGAATCGTAAGATAATTTGATCACAAAAAATTGGTAAATGAAAAATAGTGGCATTCAAAAATATAGACCCGTTTGGCGTGGCCTACACCCCCAAATTTTCAAAATAACGAGGTTATATTGGACAAATGGCCCAATATTTTTGTAGGCCATCTTTTTTATGGATTTGGTGATCAAATTATCTTATGATCCAAGTAGAAAGGAACCGGGTATTCATGAGCTATAAGCACCTAATTAAATAAACAAAATTTGCTCCCCTCCAGATTGAAAACGCACCAATTCCAAGAGTTTTCATAAATAAAATAGTTGTAGGTTATGATGAGATGAAACTATTTACGAAGTAATAATTTACGGATGTAATAATTTGATTAAAATACCACGACTCTATACCACGACTATTAGTTTAAATAAACGAAGTTTTCGAATGTTGAAACTAAAGATAAGTATATTTTTAATTAGTATTTTATTTATTTTACTATTTATATAAAATAATATCTTTATTTTTTATCTCAATGGTTTTTTAGCGATTCAATTAGGTTACAATTGTTAAATGAATATAAGAGTTTTTACTTGTTATATATTTTTATTTTCATATCTTCTTGCAAGGTAGTTGTGTGTTGTTTTATTTATTATATTATATTACATATGTTTGTGTTTGGAGGGAGGAGTGTTTGTGTGCATACATACATACACACGAAAGTGCACTTCTTGATCCCCATTGCATTTAGATCTACGGAACCAGAAGTTGGGATGCCCCGCGGCCATTCGAGACCCCTCAGACCAAGGCCGCGTTTCCTGCGCCTTTTTTATACCCACCATTTTTTTTATTCGCTTGTACTCTGGCTTTTGTATTCACTTCCGGAAGTCAGTGCCTGTTGATTGTAAAGTCTAGACATCGTGCTTGCATATAGTTTACATTTCCTTGAATACATAACAACTGAAATCAATCTATTTAATACATACAATAATTATTAAAAAATATAATAATCATTTTTCGCAGTTTTACGATCTTTCACCTTAAAGCTTACATCTTAGGATGTAATAATTATTCTATAAATACAGTACTAATATCATTTATTACAGACAGTATTAAATTAGCGAATTCAAAAATATAACTATAGATGATCGTTCATTAACATGATAAAATCTTGGCTATGAAGTCTTATTGACGTATCACTGACATTTAAAATCATTCAAGTGGTGTAAAAGATTAACATCTACGTCATTATTTCTTCCATGATCTAATCTTATTTCAATCTCAAGAAGATTGGC